TATCTGGAAAACTATGAAGCATGGAATCAGCCTTTGGATCTTGGTGACAAGAAAATAATTTTTTTAAAAAAACAAAACAAAACTCTTGATGTACTTGGTCTGTTTGACCTTACCCAAGATCCGAGGGTTTATAGAATACATGTTACCAAGCAACAAGCTTTGCTAATCTCACTTGAGCCAGGGTTGTTTGAGTCTTGTCTGGGACTCCTCGAATGCTGGGCAGGAAAAGGAAGCCATTCGTGTACTAGAAAATGTGGTGCCCCATTCACCAGACTGTCGACTAAAGCACTTTTGATCTCTTCTTTTCTACATTATGAAATCAGGAGTAGTGTGCTTACCTCTAGGGATTTCTCTCCGATCATAGACGGTCTGTACAAAACAGACTTAGTACCGTTTTCCTCTGTGATCCAGGACCCGCATTAACACATCACATTTGGGGGCTATTTGAGGTCATTTGCCAATACCTGCCATGCACCAGAAAACCAACCCCTTCTGCGCCTCACTTTTTTGTTTCCGTGAGAAGCTTTTCTTTCACTTCCCATTTTCTCTAAGACATTTAAAAATATTATTTACACCAAACGTTGAAGGGCTGCACCAATGCGCATGTCCTGGAATTACTGTATTATATTGACCTTTCCTTAGTTGTATGCCTGTCACAGAACCTGGACTCTTCTGTGTGACTTTGTGGAATTAGTCGTCAGTGGTCACTGAAACCAGGGAAAAGCATACCTCTGGTTCAGATTCTTCAGTTGGGTGGTTCAGAGTCCCCTGTCGTTTCCTGTGAACGGAATGGCTTTGGTTTTTAGAAACAGAACACCCTCCGCAGGAAGTTCAACAGCAGGAGTCTGCTTCAAGAGACCAAGCAGGTTAAGAGAACCCGGTCACTGTGTCTGAACTGATGTATCATTTAGTGTGTTTATATTCTGCTTCTTTCCCCCAAAGGATGTAAAGTGGAGGAAATTCAAGTTGACATAGTTTGTCCCTGTTTCTGCCCACCTTGCTTTCTGCTGCCTGTTTCCCTCCAGCTGCCCGGGTGCTGGCCTCCCTTCCTCCACTGGTGTCTACCCACGTTTGCCCTCTGCCAAAAGGGGCTGGGGCCGATGTTCCAGGGGCTCATCTTCTTCCCTCTCCTAATCAAAACTCCCATCCCATGTGAAGAAAAGGAACCCTCATACACTTGGTGGGAACGCCAACTCATACATTCAGTGTGGAAAACAGTACAGAGGTTCCTCACAAAGTTAAAAATAGAACTACCCGGGCGTCTGAGTGGCTCAGTGGGTTAAGCATCTGCCTGTGGCTCAGGTCATGATCCCAGCGTCCTGGGGTCAAGCCCCATGTCGGGCTCTCTGCTCAGTGGGGAGTTTGTTTCTCTGCCCCTCCCCTGGCTCATGCTCTCTCTCTCTCTCTTAAATAAGTAAATAAATAATCTTAAAAAAAATAGAACCACCCTATGATCCAGTACTATCACTACTGGGTATTTACCCAAAGAATACAAAAACACTAATTTGAAGGGATACGTGCACCCCTATGTTTATAGCAGCATTATCTACAATAGCCAAGATGTGGGAACAACCCAAGTGTCCATCGATAGATGAATGGATAAAGATGTGGTGTGAATACACACATACGTGTGTGCAATGGGATATTACTCAGTCATAAAAAAGCATGAAATTTTACCATTTGCAATGACATGGATGGAGCTAGAGGGTATAATGAAGTAAGTCAGTCAGAGAAAGACAGATACCATAGGATTTCACTCAGATGTGGAATTTAAGAAGCAAAATAAGCAAACAGAACACCAAAGAGACAAACCAAAAGACTCTTAACTGTAAAGAACACGCTGCTCCTTACCAGGGTGGAGGTGGGCGGGGGCCTGGGGGAACTAGGGGGTGGGGATTGAGGAGAGCATTTGTCGCGAGGAGCCCCGGGAGATGTATGGAAGTGTTGGGTCCCTGTCTTGTACATCTGAAACTAATACAACACTGTACATTAACTACACGGAAATGAAAAAGGAAACCTCCCATCCTAGCAAGTCTGAAATCAATGGGGACGTTCAGATTAAAGTTCTTCACAAAAAATTTAAGGTGACCAGTGCATTTAACCCCAGGGAGGGTTGTTTGTATTTTAAAGCATTAATTTAGTTCTAACATTAGTCGTTTGAATTTGGGGGGGCAGTGGTCAGGGGATGATGTAGCTGAGAGCTTCCGTCCCTTTCCTTTCCCCTCTCCAGTGCTCCCCCAGCACAACGAAGAGTGGACAGAAGCCATGGGCCTTCTGCCTTTATCCCCATTATTGTTACCATTTGTTTAGGAGCAAGCTGAGACTTGGGAGGGTTATGTGGTGTCCAAGTTTCACCCTGGGGATGATAGTGGCACCTGTAGCATGGAGTTATTGTGAAGACAGACTTATCTGCTGTGCACAATTCGCTCAGCTACCTGGCAAGTCCAAAGCACACAATTTTAATCTTGTTTAAGATTTCATTTATTTATTTGAGAGAGAGAGAGACACAGCGAGAGAGGGAACACAAGCTGGGGGAGTGGGAGAGGGAGAAGCAGACTCCCTGCCGAGCAGGAAACCCAATGCGGGGCTCCATCCTAGGACCCTGGGATCGTGACTCGAGCCAAAGGCAGACGCTTGATAACCAACAGACTGAATGACCGTGGCATTGGCCATCCTTTATAATCTGGTCCTGCTGTTTTCCAGCCTTGCCTCTTGTCATTCTCTCTGTATGTCACTGATGCCAGCGGTGTCCTGAGCATTACCATTTGCTCCCCCATCTCTGTGCATTTACTTACGCTCTTGCCGCCACCCTGAATAAATGATCATGGATCTATGCAAAGATTTGGTTATAAGAATGTTCATCACAGTCTGAGTTTGTATCCATGAAGAATTTGAGACACCCTCGATATCCATCAATCAGAGTTAAGTTTGAGAAATCACAGTAACTCCCACATGCTGGAGGGCAATTTGGCACCATCCATCAAAATTATAGATGCGCGTAGCCTTTGAATGAGTAATTCTGCTTGTCAGAGTTTATCCGACAGATACACTTGCTCATATGCCAAATGAGTGTGTGTTGGTGACTCATTGTGGTGCTTTCTTCACTCCTATTAGACACAGCACTGACAGAACTCATTAAATTATTATGTGGCGCTACGTTTATTGATGTGGGATGATCGTCATAGCTAGCATTAATTCAGGCACTGTGAAAACTGTTTTTATATATTTTTATCTCATTTAATCCTCATAACAGCCCTGTGAGGTAGTTACTATAATTGTCTTTATTTTACACAGGAGGAAATGGATTCAGGGAAGTGAATTTACGTATCCAGGGTCAGACAGCTAATAAGTAGCAAAGCTGAGATGTCTGAAATGTACTATGACAAACAATGTGTGCACTATGATCCGCTTTTGTAAGGAAAAATACATATGGGGGCGCCTGGGTGGCTCAGTCGGTTAAGCGTCTGCCTTTGGCTCAGGTCATGACCCTGGAGTCCTGGGATGAGTCCCACACTGGGCTCCTTGCTCAGCGGAGAGCCTGCTTCTCCCTTTGTCCCTCCCCTCTGCTCGTGCTTGCTCTCTCTCTCTCTCTCTGAAAAACAAATAAAATCTCTAAAAAGTACATATAGATATATAAATATATAGATGTATGTATGAAAAGCTTGGAAAGAAATATATCAAAATAGTAACAGTAGGCTGATGCAATTGTGGGTGGCTTTTCTCTTCTTTCTGCTTATAATTTTCTGATTTTTGTGTTAAATTTGGGGGCTGACTCAGAAGGAGGAAGTGCCACCAGGAGGCAGGAATTATTTGTGTAATTTTAAAGATGACTACATTTTACAAGTTTGGTGGTAGTGTAGAGCAGCAACACAGATTTGTGGGAAGTGTTTCTAGACTGAGAGGAGGAACACCAGTGGGAAGGGGGAGCTTTCCCCAAGGGAAAGAGAATGGCTCCTGGAACCAAGTGCAGGAGAGAGCAGGAGAACCTAGTGTCAAGGGCACCAGTGGAAGAGGCAACCTTGAGGAGGAAGACTCTCATCCCCATGTGGTTGAGGGGTAGGAGAAAGGCAGAGAACTGGGGAAGGGCAAGGGGAAGAGGGAGAAGGGAGGGAGTTCCTGCCCCATGACCTGAGTCCTATCACTGAAATTCAAAGCAGGCCCCCTACTGAGGGGTCAGGTGGAGGGGGATGGATAGGGGATCTGAGGAGAGGGAGAGGATTTGGAACAATCACTTGGAGAAATTTGATACAGATATATAAAAGGATTGCCTTGCAGCCCTTGGGGCCCCGCTGAGGCTGGCTGGCCTGGCTTTGTAGCGGAGCCAACTTCATGACCTTCTCCAGCAAAAGCTAGCAGCCGGGGAGTGGGGGTTGGAGAGGATGGACGGTGGGGTTTTCACAGGACTGGGGATTGGCAGAGCAGGTGCTGCAGAAGGTCACTGGGAGAGTGAGTCCAGCAGTCAATGCTAGCATGGCTAAGTGCCTGCTCATGGGCCCGACTTGGAAGGAGGAAGAGATGCCAGCAGGCTCCTGATGGCATCTGGGAAAGGAGAAGGGAGGAAGGACAGCCTGGTGGCCGTGGGGCCCGACAGGGTAGAGGGAGACCAGTAGGAAGCCGAGGTCAGGGGGCTGTTTCTGAGTCTGAGATGTTGAAACCTCTCCTCCGGAGCCCTGGGAGGAAGCGAGAAGCGTGGCGGGAAAGCGTGCAGATAACAGGGTGAAGAGAGCTTTCCCATAAGTCTGGCTGATGGAGGACAGCTTAGCAGTCCTCCATCGAAATTGCAAATGCACTTTACCTCTCAGTCGGCAGATCAGCTTTTAGGAGTTTCTCATCCAGATATACTTACTTGCTTTGGTGCGAGACGATTGTGGCCCCCGTTGAATCAAGACAGCATTGTCTGGGATGGCCACAGGTCAGAAGCAGCCCGGAAGTCCAGCCAGCATGTGTTCATTGAATAAACTGCGCCTCATAAAATGGGAATGCTGGGTAGCTGAGAAAAGGGGGACGTTTCTCTTATTCAGTAGAAGAAGCCAGGTACAGAGATCAGTGGGAATAGTTCATGGTCTCTTTGCTAACGCATGCAGAAGACACCTCCCAAAGGACACAGAAAAAACTGTTCATATAGGCTGCCTCTGAGGAGGGAGAACTGTTGGCTGGGTGACAGGATCTGTTTGGAAAGCAACTTTTCACTTGTCCTTTTGTTTATAGCTTTTTTCTTTCTTTCTTTTTTTTTTCCTTTATGGAAGTATAATTGACAAATAAGAATTGTATATATTCAAGGTGTACAATGTGATGTGCCTTTTGAGTTTTGAGCCATGTGAGTATATTACTTACTGAGGGAATAAAGTAATTAACTAAAAACATTATATACAGGTATACATATATCTATGTGTAATTTGGAACTCTTTTTTTAGATAGTAAATCATTCGATTGAAAGCGCAACAAAAACTCCCACCAGAGAGGTTTTACTTCAAACCAGTGAGCTTGCCGGGGTCATGGGTGGGAATTTGGCTGTGGTGAAATTGACCATGTATTGAAATAATTGCTGAGCCTGGGTGATGGGTATATGGAGGTTCATTTTCACCTGAAACATGAATGAGCCCCTTTAGCAAGGCAAAAATGGTCACATCGCAGCCCTTTCGTGCAGTTTAAGCTAATAGTGTTCTCATTATTTTTGTAAATTTTCCATAATATAAAGGTTTTTCCAAAGAAAGGAAAACAAATGAGCTCCCACCAGGCTCTTGCTAGGAATAGCTGCATTCTTTCTCATCCCAGCCCTTGTGTCTTGTAATTGAGTGGAAATTCCCATTCCCCATCACCTTCTGAAAGAGCAGTGCTGCCTCCCTCGCTCCCTTTAGTCTAGGACCCTGTACTGTCCTCGGGAGTTTTCCTGTTAACAACAACCTCTCCCCATCCGGTTGCATGTTAATTGGGTACCACCTTATCCTTATTGCTGGGGAAGCTCATCATGTTCTCAAAAAATCACTTCTTTAGTTTCTTATGATCACTCGACATTCTCTTCCTGCCTCGCAGTCTATTATTAGGCCTCCTAACTAATTTGGGGCCATGCTCTTATCCTGGTTATGTATAGTTATCAATCTGGGGGCTGATGTCTCCAGAACATTCAGTATATGGCCCCGCCAAGTTCACCCTATGCCATCAGTAAGCACACTTGTGTTCAACCTTTCATCCTGAAGTTGTTTTGCTTATGTCGGCATTCCTTCTGTTACCTCAGGAGCTATGGTGACTTTGGCCTGGTCCCCAACACCTGCCAACCCATGCCCTGTTGTCTGTCCTCAGGGGGCAGGTGGCTTCTCCTTGCTGCCTGCAGGCCTGGGCATCTTCCCTGTGTCCCACAGTCTGTCATTCAGCCCTGCTTGCATAGCCCACCAGCACCCCAGACTGAATTAGTTCCCCCCACTTGAAGCCTCCCCTTTACCCCTCTGGACACAGCCCACTCTGGCCCCATTCCCCAGGCAGCCTGGGGGTAGCATGCCTTCCCTGCGCTCTCGCAGCTTCCTTTAGCACACCAGAATATGCTTCCCTCCCAGACGATGAGCTCCGGGGTTAAGGATCAAGACTGTGTCTCACGCTCCCTTGAATACCTCACACTCAGCACAGCATCAGGCATGTGGTTAAATGTTCAAAATATGTCATTTTTACAATTTTAAGACTTTTAACATATAGAAAATTGTATGCAAAAGTAGTAACAAGAACCTTCACATGGCCTTTATCAAGATTCATCGGTTGTTAGCATCCTGTTATAATGACCATTCTCCCTACAGACACACACGCGTGCGCACATGCACAAATGCACACACACATATTTTCGTGTGAAGCGCTTTAGACTGAGCTGCAGAATCATATTCCTTTGCCCCCAATACTTCAATATGTATTTCCTAAGAACAAGACATTCTGTTAGACAAACATGTATAGGTAGGCAAATTCAAGAAATATAACGTGGATACACCACACAGGCCATATTCTAGTTGTGCTAATTTTCCTGAGAATGTCCTTCCTAGCTATTTCTCTTCTGGTCCGTGATGCGGTCGAGGATCACACATTGTATTTGGTTGTCATGTCTCTTGATTCTCTCAAGTGTCCTTCAATCTAGAACAGCCCCCGGCCTTTCTTTGTCTTTCATGACATCAAGCTTTTAGAAGAATACAGGCCAGTTGCTTTGTAGAATGCCCCCCAGTTGGTTTGCCTGATGTGTCCTCATGATGAGCGGTTGCACATTTCTGGCATGAGCAAAACATAAAAAGGCATCTATGATGGTTGGTGATGTTAACTTGGATTAATTGGTTAAATGCCCGCCATGTTTTTCCGCCATAAAGGTATGATTTTTCATGGGGCGCCTGGGTGGCTCAGTCAGTTAAGAGTCCAACTTTTGATTTTGGCTCAGGTCATGATCTCAGGTCATGATCAAGCCCTGCATTGGGCTCCATGCTGGGTGTGGAATCTGCTTGATTCTCTCCCTCTCCCTCTGCTCCTCCACCCCCTCCCTCTCTAAAAAAAAGTGACTTTTCTTTTTGTACTTAATAACTAATGTCTGAGGAGATATTTTGAGACTACATAAATAACATGTTTCTCACAAAACTTTCACTCTCCAGTTTTAGGATCCATTAATGACTCTTGCCTGAATTTGTGCTCACTATGGTGGTTGCCAGATAGTAATTTTCAAAATAACACCTATGCATTGATTAAATGAGTTGCTCATTTGTCCTACGGAAGGGATGCCTCCTTTGCTAGGACAGCAGCCTCTGGTTGGCTGCAAGAGTGAAGTCTAGGTAAGACAGGCTTGCAGTGCTCAGAAACCTTAAATGAGGTCAGTTTTCCTCTAAGCCCACTGGCCTTTATCAGGACCCAGAATGGACTCCATGGCCTTCCCAAGGTGATCTCCATGCTGAGGGCCTGCAGCAGCGGCCTGCTTAGTCAGCCCCATGCCTATAGGACCCATGCCTGCCTACTCTTAACTATTCTCCATCCAACTTAGGAGCAGAGAAGCTAAAGGTCGGGGGCATTCTTGCTTCCCATTCTGACTTATTTGAAAACCATTGGATCTGCCATTCTGGAGATCCACAATTTTAGGCACTGGGATCAAGGTATCGTTTTCACGTGGGTTCTTGTACAGAAAAGGAGAGTCACCATGACTACATGGAGGGCCGAGGGAAGTCCACAGTTCAGCTGTTTCTCTTTGGGGACTGTGTTTGTTTCCTAGGGCTTCCGTAACAAATTACCACAAATGGGGTGGCTTAACACATTAGAAATTCGTTCTCTCAGTTCCAGAAGCTAGAGTTTGAAATCAAGGTGTGGCAGGGCCATGCTCCCTCTGAAGCCTCTAGGACAGGATCCTTCCTTGCCTCTTCCAGCTTCTGGTAGCCCCCTGGAGTTTCCTGGCTCGTTGCTGCACGGCTGTATGTAATCTCTGCCTCCATCTTTCTCTAGCCGTCTTCCCTCTGTGTCTGTGTGTGTCTTCACACGACATTCTCTCTGTGTCTGCGTCTGTTCAAATTCCTCTCTTCTAAGGACATCAGTCATATTGGATCGGGGCCCACCCTAATTACCTCTCTTAACTTGATTACATCTGCAAAGACCCTGTTTCCATAAGGTCACATTCACAGGTACCTAGGGTTAGAGCTTCAACATATCTTGCGGGGGGCTGGGGGATGGGTGGTGAGGGGACCTGAACCCATCACAAGAACCATGTGTGAAATCCAACCCATTAGAGAACAGGAAGTGGAGAGCTATTCACTATAATGCTTCAGCCCAGTATCGTAGATCTCTCTGTCCCTCCTGCTCACTCTGGGCTTGGTTGGCTTGGCAACATGTAAGGAAGGAAAATGAGATAGGCAGAACATACTCAGCCCCCTTGAAATAGAGTTTGGACATAATTTTCAAATAATTGCAAGCTATTCTCGTGGCCATTACATAGAGGACAGCAGCAGAGAACAATAACAGTCTACAAGGCTCTGGCCCCTGCACTTCTTTCTAGAATTCTTATAATTGCGATAGAAATGGATTTGTTACTATTTGACAGATGGGGAACATGAGACCCAGAGAAATGAAGTGACTGACAGTAAATTTCACACAGGGCAGGATCGTGTCTGTGAAGCATAGAGCCTAGCCCCATGGCAGGCACTCCGTAAATATTTGTTGCCTGAATGAGTGAATGAATGACTTAATCTGAGATGGTGCCCCTGGTGTTCATGTTTGGATCCATTCCTCTTTCCATGATCCCTCACAAATGACTGCAGACCAAGGTGTTGTCCTGAGACAATGGAGTTTAGGTGCATAAACAATGAATTCTGTTACACTGAAAAGAAATTAGATTAAATTTAAAAAATAAATAAAAAAGAAGTGACTGTGTCAATTTCAGATTCTTTTGCTATCTTTAAGAACCTTCTGAATTCTGTGGTAATGAGTATGTCAGTCTAGTTGATTTCTTTTCCTGCTCCCCTCCTGATAAACCGATCAAGATGCCATTTTGTCAAGATACGTAGGCATTGGCTTTAATTTTACTTGAGCTACATAATTGTCTGAAAATCGTAAATTTTTTAATATTTTAAAATATAAATTATAAAATTGTATTCGCACTGAAGGCAGGCCTTTAGCACATAGACTGTTATCCTGTAACAATGTATCAAGGAAGCAAAGAATTCAGGATATTACCTTCATATCTTTGAAACAGAATACTGGTAATTCATTTCTGGGTCTCCATCAGCATCACTGAGGTAGCCAGGAAAGGCCCATTCAGCCTAGCCAATACGGACTCGTTAACAGTGTGCTGTGCACCCAACCATATGCTGGGTGGGGGGCGGGGGGCGGGGAAGAGAAGGCAGCTCTCTCCAGGAGCCTCCAGTCTGGCGAACGATGTGGCATCCCCATGGGAAACAGTGAACAAAGAGAAGTTGACCCTTGCTAAGCACCTAGTAGGTGCCAGACCCTGGACAAAGCCTGTAAGGCGGGTATTTCCCCTGTTCAACGGATGAGCAAACCGAGGAGCCGAG